ATATATATATATATATATAAATATAAATATATATATATATATTATAAATGTGTAAAACTTCAAAAGCATGTTTAAGTAATACTAAATGTCTTTAATTACGCTACCTATTTTGTAGGAAAGGCCTCGTAGTGCTAAATATAAGAAAAAAATTACAATATAGATTTAACTTTCCTTTTAGCATGTTCTATTTGAAATTTCTTTCTATATTAGTCCATGAAATTATAAATTCATGGAAAATTTCATTTCTTGTTAAATTTTCTTTTTATCCATAAAAATGCATAAAATAATAAAATACATTAATTCTCAAGACCGTTTTTGTGCCCATTTTAAATCATCTGCTCTGGGTTTACAGCCAGTGGCTTTTTCGATTATAATTTCTAAGATATACCAAAAACGAAGTTGTTCTAGTGGCCAATTTAACCATCCAGTAGTAATGCAAAAGTAAGTTTCATGTGGTGCAACATGATGTACACGATGATGTTTTCTAGGTAATATAATTCTATGTTCTTGTAACCAAACAACCCAGGAAGGTAATCCAAAATATGTATGAGACCATTTGTGTATCTGGAAAAATCTTTTATGTTATTGCTACTATATTATTTTGTTAATACTAAATCTAATAAAGTGAAAAAAATTTATAGACTTATATATATGCATTTATAACATGAAAAATATAAGGATTATATTTTTGTTTTCAAATAAATATTTTAATAAATAATTATTTAAATAATAATTTTAAAAAAAGATAACATCAACAAATTATTATTAATATTATTTTAATTACCTGATTAGTCATTGCTACAAAAATTGCAAGTAGAAACCAATAACAAGTCCACATAAATTTTTGTTGTATCTCTGATTCTGGGAGAGTTAAGAAATCCCATGTTAATTTATAAAGGAATGGAATTGTGACCATGAAATTATCACCATTAGTTTCTATAAAATCATGTCTCGTTATACTTGTTGGATCAATGTGATGTTCTCGAAATGGTCTTAAAAAATTCTAAAAATATACACATACATTGATATTTAACATTTTATAATACAAAATATATAAATCTTAAATGCTTTTTCTTTTTTTTTTTTTTTGCTTAGATATGAAACAATATTTAACGAAGTTCATATTACAAAATAATATTATCTATAATTTAAGGTACAAATATATACGTTCTTATTTAATGATTTTTTATAATTTACCTTTCCAAGAATTGGAAGTTCTACAGAACCCCATGTATCGGCAGCCCAATGAACTAATCCAGATCCAAAATCTGCAGTAACAATGCCACAAAATGCTGCTATTGCTATTGAGCTCAAATTTTCTAATCTTAATCTGACAAGAATAAATATTGAATTAATTATAATGAGTGTAATGCAGATGCCAACACAAATGCATTCTTGTGTTCTTTTTCCTGTAATAAAAATATATAATAAAATTAATCATATTAAAATTTATAATTATATTTTAATTATAAAAACCATAATAATAATTTTATGAATAATGTATAGATATAAAGATATATATTGTTAGATCGTTCTTTATTTTTGTTCATAGCCGAAAATTCCAAGGTGCGATCGATGTATAGTTAGTATTTTGGCAAGTATTAGAATTAGAAAACATACATGTGATAAGTACATGTATCATTTGTATATTTTTGTAGACTTTATATTAAATATAATAAAATTATTAAGTGATATTTCATTAAATATAAATTAATATATAATATTATATATATATTTGAAAAAATTATAAATATTAATAAACATTTAATATTAAAATACTAAAAATACTTCAATATAAAAAAATAAAGGATTAAAATTATTACCAGTGCTATAAAGATTTGCCAATTCTTGAGCACCCTTGTGATTGGGACCCCATCTCGGTACGGTTCTGTCTTCTTGTGAAGTTGATACCACCGAATTGGCATTGGGATCGTCCTCGAGCATCGAATTCTCGTAGATCTGCCGTTCGGTCTTCACTGGCGCCAAGAAATTTGTAGCCATCGAGCATGCGGCTGATGCCGCTTGGCCCAAGTTCGCCACTTTTATCTCATCCATAATTATAGTAATTATTTTAAATATTCATCAAATAATCCAAATTTTTATTCTTTTTTTTTTATAAGTCAATCTCGTTTTGTAGCGATTGTCTGCTGTTTAACATTGTGAAGCTTCTTTTTATCAATTATGAAAAAGACAGTTGTATATCTTTATATATTTTTATAAATGATTTATACTCTATTGAGTATAAAGTTATAAAATATGGACGATCTTTTGAATTTGATGTGCAGAAATGATCTTTATGCATTATTTGATTTATTTTTTCATTATCTATCATTTGATCCATGAGCTTTTTGTACAATTCTTCCTATTCTAGTCATTACACTATTTATTCATTAGACTTACAATTTTTTGTTGCTGTGCGTTTGTCCTGTTTTCGTTTTGAATTCTTCTGAAACTTCGTTCGACGAAATTTGTGCTATAAAAGATAAAAACATTGCATTAATATAATAAATAATTCATATAATTAAAAATATATAATTGAAAAAATTTATGATATAATTTAAATCCTAAAATTATATATTAATATTATCTATTTTATTTATACGATTATAATTTTAAAATTGTAAAAAATGTTAATATCGTAATTTTTGAAGAGATATAATTCGAAGAATGTTTTCAATGATAAGTTCAAAATCAAACATTATGATAAAATGTTAAAAATAATGGTCAAATATCAATCTTGATTTATCTGATAAATCATCTTATATAACAAATTTTATCATTCTTAGAATTATCCAGTATTTAAAATGTTAAAGTTTTTATAATAATAATAATAACAATAACGACAACGATAATAATAATAAGTATGATAATATTAAAATAATATATAGCTTGTGTATTATTAACAGCTTGTTTATAAGTTACTTATTATTATATAAAGTAAATTTATTATTATGAGCAATCTATTGAAATATTAAGTTTTCAATTCACTCTAATTCTAATTTATTTTAATTTAAAAACTCATTATTTGTTTTTAATTATAATTGAAAATTAATAGTAATAATAATTATTATAATTAAACTTTAATAATAATATAATATTGATTATATTATATATATTATCTTAGTGACCATAATATAAATGTGTATATTTCTAATATATTTATATCTTTAATATTAAATAATAATAATTGATATTTTTTTTTGTTCATAAAAAAAAATTATTTGATATTTTTGAAAAATCGAAAATATAACAATTTATAAAAAGTCAAGTTAAAGAATAATAATATATAATTGGAATCTATGTGAAAACAATAATTAAATAGGTTAATTTCGCTTTTACATAAACTTTTAATAATTGTAATAAATAAATCAAATTTATTTTTTTCTCTTAACATTATAACATTATACATAAATGTTATAAATGTTAATGAAAAATTATTTGCATTTATGTAACATTATTAATTTATTAATTTATTCTTATACAGAATATTATTTAATATTAAAAACAAATTTGAAAATTTAAAAAATTGTATATATATAAAAATTATCTGTTATTATTAATATAATTATTTAAAATATATTTATAATATATTATTATTTAATAATTTATTATTGTTATTATAACGAAAAATTGTATAATTGAATTTTATTGCATCTATTTCTTATATATTTATTTAGATTTATAAAATCTATTACTTATAACAACTAATGGAATTGAAATAATAATAAAACAATATGACAACATATATAATTATATGCTTCATTATATAAATTTTTGTAAATAAAAAATTTGTTAGTATCTAATTTTTAATTAATTTTTTTCTAGCAAATTATGAATATATAAATTTTCTTAACCGGCATACATGGTGACGCATACGAACAAATTTGCATTCTATGCGTATACTACACGCGCATAACACGTGTATATTTGTAATCAAGACACGAATTATATAGATACAGATATCAAAACTTAATATCATAAATTAAATTTTAAGAAATATTAAAAATCCATTTAATGAAATTTTATCGAATTAAACATCAGGTAGGGCATACCCATAAGAAAGACGAGAGAAACAAAGACGAGAATAGAAAATCCTTATAGAACTTCAAGGATTTCTTGATATTTTTATATTCCGTTGTTATCCTGGTCGACGCATTGTCCAGCCATAAAGTTGCTGAATTTCCACGTTTAATTAGTCACTGATAGGATTAAAAGAGATCTACGACGAGACACTATCGTACCTCGTACCGATGTAATACATATATGTATAAGAAAAGCACACATGATGTTCATATACATTTATATCGTTTCATGCACAAATTTTCTTCTTTTTTGTCAATTGGATCTTGCTACACTGTGATATCACCACAGAAAACTGATAGTAACAGATTTGGATTTTGTGAATTTTGAATGACAAACACTAATGTAAGAATATAAAATTGAACAGGATAAAAAGAGAAAGAGTATATAAAGAAAAAGAAAAAAAAGATGGGAGTAGTTAACGAAAGGATCGAGGAGATACGTTGTCACGACTTGGCATTTAATTCCGAGAACCGTGTCTCTTTTTCATAAACCGATAGATACAAAAGTAACAAAGAGAGCGTACAAACAGAGGCGCTAGTTTCGCCGTATGTCTTACACCGTTCTGTTCACGATTCTCCTCAGTTCTTTCTCTTTTGCTCGAATTCACATCACGAGAATTGGCTGCCTCTTTCTTCTTTCATACGAGAACTTCTGCAACCCCGCCTCGTTTCGTGACGAACGACCGGCGCCGCCTGACGACCATAGCTCGCGTCGCGACGCTCTCGTGGCGCCGTCATGCGGTTACCCTCCCTGATGTCACCACTTCTAGACATAAGAAGAATTCCGTTCAGTTGAGGTAGAATAATTACGATTGTACTTTCATTCACTTCATTATTTGAAATTGCATACAATTCCATTTGTTAAGATCATTATATTTCTTGCAATTTATAATCATATTATTATTTATATTTAATTAATAATGCATTTTATGATTTTTATTTTTATATGTAAAAATTATTTTTTGTGATTTTATTATGTAATTATATTTTTTATGATTTTCTTTTAATAATAATTTTAATTATCATTTAGTATTAGTATTATTTTGATTATTTAATTATATATATCTAGAGAGATTTATTTAATAATTATTTACAATATGGCATGTATATAAAATATATATGTATATGAATATAATATGCTGCAAAATGCATAGAATATATATAAACGTCATTGATTAAATATGTATATGATATGTCATAATTATTTGTGCATGTGTATCTTGCAACGTTCTTACGTTGTTAAATGTTGTATAGTTGTGGATTCAAATTTATACAACCAAATATAATTATCAATATGAAAGGTATAACTTATGTTTTTAAATTATCGTAATATGATTATCTATAAATTAAATATTGCAATTAAATATTTTAATTTTAATTTTGAATTGTAATATGTTTTATAAAAAAATATATAAAAAATAAAATCTATTAATTATGATTTAAATTATAATTTGTATAACTATAATATAAATGAATTTATAATCATATATCTATGTGATATATTATATAAATGAAGGTGAAGAACCTATAAACTGTAAGTATATCCTTCAATAGTAAATATATACGTATAAGTTTTAAATCTAATATGACCTTAAAGTCCTTTGGAATACGACGACGGAATACACGACGTTTCATAGAACACTCATACTTTATTTAAAGGTAAATCGACCGAATGGCTAGATTCTAAGTTTTTTATGAGTTATATTCCATATATATATATGTAGCGGGTTATGATCACGTAATAAATAATGAGAAACACGATAGCATATTATTATATATAACAACAATTATAATAGTATTTTTAATCCTGAATTTCTTAAATAGATATTAACTTAGCTTGATGAGAAATTATCGATTCATTATTGAAAGTAATCGATTATCTCCCGTCATTAATACGAAAAATTAAATATTAAATTCATGATTTATTTACATATATATCTATAATTAAATAAAAACATTAGATCGTATACTTACCATAGAAATTTAAATATAAATTGTTAACTGATTGTTATAAAAAACAATTGTTAACACAATTTTTAATGTTTTCATTAGTTTTTTATAATCGGCACTATTTTATAATATGTAATAAAATTTTTCGTAATTTATCTGTTTGAGGTTGTGTTCTTCTTTTAGCCTTGTACAACCAGTTTAGTTGCCAAGTTACAATAATACCAAAATAAACTCAGAAGTGCGAAACTTCGAGTGACATAAATTCTTAACTGTGATAAGCATGTTAAGTACTATGCATGAAAAGGAATCGATTAAAAATAATATATATATATATATATATATTTGTTTTTTAATTAAATCTATTAAAGAAAATAAAAATGTAAAAAGTTTTCAATAAATATTATTTGTAATTTGTATTGTGCGATTTATATAATAATAAATATTAAATCATTGGATGTCTGCAAATGTGAATGTGATGTGAATATGAGATAACAATACATTTTTAATGATTGCGTGCAAACACATAAATAGATAAATTATTATTCAAATACTATTCGATATATAGAAAATGAATAAAGATATTTTTATTAATATTTAGAAGTTGAAAATTAAATTAATATAATAATAATAGAAGTATAATGATATAATAGTATTGATTTAAAAGATTGAATGAAAGTAATATAAATTATTTTTCACAAAAATAATTTTATACATAGGTATAATTAACTCTAAACAATAAGGATGTTTTTATATAATTTAATTTGATTTAATTTTTCTAATTTAAGTTTTTATAATTGCATTAATTTTTGAAATTATTTTCTTTTCATTTTATATTTCGGTTAACAATATTTAACTATTCAAAAATATATAATAAATGTTTATTGGTTTACTTTTTAATTTTTTTTAATTTCAAATATTTATATATTATTTATATTAAAAAATAATATATATTGCTGCTAGTTAAAATTATACAATTTTTTTAAAGTTACATTTTTTTTTCAATTTAACATTTTATTTTTTATTGTAGTTAAACTTTGTACAGACTTAAAATGATTTTTAATATTATATCAATTAAATTTTATTATATATATTTGATATATTTTGTCTATTAATTAAAAAAATGTGCAAAAATATTATTTCCTCTATAATTATAATGTAATAAAATAATAATACTTTTGATAGATAATGCTATGCACATAATCTTATAAACAATAATTCAATATATAATATATTTTTTAACTTACTGTTAGAATTTAATAATATTCTCAGTAATCAGTTTAGATCTTTCTTAAATTTGAAAAATTACGCATGTCTTTGTAAATATAACAATATAACACGTAGATGTATTAAAATGATAGTATTAAATACAAAGTGCACCATGATGAAAAACCACAAGTTAATATTTTGCTGCGGATTGAATAGATATCGGTTATTCATGGACTTGCGTATTGCGATATATTCAAGATATAAAAAAGACAATACTACAAATCACGAAAAAGATGTACACCTAACCCAATTTCAATTTTTCCAAATATTAATTTCAAATATATATATGAATATATGAATAATTAATTTATTTATTTATATAAATATTTATATAATATGTATATTAAATATTTACAAATTCAATAGAATGTTAAATTAATATATGCAATAATAAGTTTTTTTAATATTACAAATTATTTATTTATAAACTTATTAGAAAGTATTATATGTAATATAATATAAGTATTATATTATATTAAATAAATAATGATTAATTACGCAATAAGAAATAGTTTAATTCATTTCAATAAACGCCTGATTTTGTTGCTAAGAAATTTAACATTGCGCAAATATTCAATATATGTAAAATAAAAATCATACATGATACTAAATTCCTGATACTAAATTTATAATTGACTCATCGAACTATCGGATAAAAATAGTTTCATTCATTCATTGTAGTATTATGTCATAAACTTCCGCTTATAAGCCAAAGAAGATATCAGCAAAAACACTAAGTTTATTTTAAATTACTTCCGTTATAAATTGGCACAATGTCTAATATATATTTATATATAAATGTATATATATAAATATCGTGCATAAACATCAAGGATTTAATTTTTTTTAAATTTCATGATTTATAAGACATTTTTAATATATATATTATATATTATATATTAAAATGTTTATAAGACGTCTTTGTGATATTCTTTAATAATTAATAATATTATTTAATAACATTAATTTATATTAAAAAATATATTTTATTACTAAACTAAAAATAATAAATATCAGATTTTTTGTTTCTGCAATTATATTTTATTAATTATTTTTTCTTTTTTATTCGAATTATTAAGATAGAGAATATATGACTATAATATATGTTTTTTTTTGTTTTAAATCTCTTTTTATAATTTGAAGTAAATAAATTTAAGAATATTAAAAAAGCATAAAAATTTTTAATCAAAAAATAAACTTAAAAATATTTTTTAAAAATTATACATACGTATTTATAAAGAATATTTCATATGATAATATGAAGCAAGTTCTCAGATGAAAAAATAATTAATAATATATTATAAAAATTTTTTGAGCTTCTTTTTTAAATATATTAAGTTTGAAAAATTTTTTAAGTATAACTAAAATTTATTATTTGATAATGAATAAATAAATAATAAATAAAAACAATTATCGACAGAAAAATAAAAATATATTAATAAATTTTTTTCATATAAATATATATCTTAGTTTTCGAAAATTGAATTGATTACACAAATGAAAATTTGACAATTATATTATTACTTAACTATATTCAATTATAAAATAACATGTATACATATATATATGTATATATATATATTTTTATAAATATATAATATATATAATATTGATATATTCAATTTCAATTTTCGTAAAAACAAAAACTCAAGCGATAAAATTTTGTTATATATTTTTTTTCTTATTTTTTTATCAATAATTTATTATCAAATAGTAATTTGCTTTATATGTTACCATCATTATAAATTCATTCATATCAGGAATTATTTATTTGTATTTAAAAAATTTTGAAACCTGCTTTATTTGAAAATGAAGTTTCAAATTTTATATTACATTTTTGATTTATTTTTTCATGTAAAATCATTCCTTTTAATAATTGTACTATTAACCGTTTTATGAAAATTCTATATGTATATATAGATTAATCTCTTAAAATTAAAAAAAAAGAATTATATAAATAATATATATATAAATACAAATATTAAAAATTAATAAATTAAGATTTCATTGATTTTCATTAAAATGTTTTATTTTAAATTAATATAATGTAAATAATCTGTAAAATAATTATTTTATATATAATATGTTTTTTATAAATTCTATATTGTTAAATTATTAATATCTGATATATACATATATTTTATCTTTTTTTCGTAAAATGAAAAAAAAATTTTTTTATATACACAATTATTTTCATAGTCTCAAAACATGAGAAAATTTACAAATTAATGAAAACAAAGATACGAACGTAATTAATTTTTAATAATTTTATTTTATTTAAAAAATTATGGAGTAATATCTTTAATATTTTTCTATAAATATTATGTATAAAAATATCTAATCATATAAATAAAATAGAATATTGAATAAAATAGAGTTTTAAAAAACATTTGATTGAATTTCAAAATTTTTTTTTAATAATATATATCCTTATATTATTATAATGCTAAATTTTTATGATAATTTGTACTTGTTGATAATTTAAGTACGTGTTCGAAATACACAACGTGCATTTATATATTATGTTTATTTTAAGGTTAGTTATTTAATACTTATTAAGATTAATATTTAAAGATTAATTACGCATATAATAGTATTTTAACATAAATTTATTATTTTAATAATAATAATTAAATAATAATAATTTGAAGCATTTGAATTGCATTTATTGAAATGAAAATTTCTATATTCAATGAAGGTGATCGCGTACTTTTAGTTGGAGAGGGTAATTTTTCATTTTCTCTGGCATTATTTAATCTCAATTTAAAGATTGATATTACTGCAACATGTTATGAAACTACTGTTGATCAAGATTTTGGAAAGAAAAACATAGAATATTTAAAAAATTATGGTAGTATTTTAATAAGAAATTAAAATTTTTATTTGATAATTCTTTTTTAATAATTAAGTTTATAAAGAATTCTATGCTTTTCTTTTCAGGTATTCGTGTATTATTAGGAGTTGATGCAACAAATTTAAAAGAACATCCAATATTAAAAACAGAATTATTTGACAAAATTATTTTTAATTTTCCTCATATTGGTGGTAAAATGCGAATAGAAAAAAATAGAGAACTATTAAAACAATTTTTTATAAGTATATCAGAATCATTAAAAAGTAATGGTCAAGTATTAGTTACTTTGTGCAAAGGTCAAGGTGGTACATCTATTGACAATCCACGAAGACGTTGGGATGATTCGTGGAAGATTACAGAAATGGCAGCACATGGAAATTTTATATTAACAGCAATTGAACCATTTATATGGTTATATTTCCAAAATTATATAGTAACTGGATATCGTAGTTTAAATAAGCAGTTTCATTCTGTTGGAGCTTTAACTCATATATTTATAAAATCTGAATCACCAAATCTTAATAATATTGCTCCAAAAAAAAAATAAATATTCTATCATACAGTAATGATAATTTTTCATGGACAGATATAAATGACATTGTAAATAATATAACAGATATAAATGACATTGTAACAAACATAAATAGCATCAATATAGATACTCACACATATACATTTGATATAACTTTTGTCATTAATGAAAAATTTGATTCTATTAAATTTTATGTGTTATTATATAACCATGCAGGATGTATTATAAATAATGTTGCTTTTATAAGATCTTATGCACCTTCAGAAAAAATAGAAAAGAGAACTTATAGAATAAGTTATAGATCTAATTGTTTACCATTGTATAGAAAAAGAGTTATTAATATACATGAAAATTTAATAGCAGATATTTTGGAAAATAATTTAAATGTATCAGTCTCAAGATAATAATGTTACATATTATATTAAAAAAAGTACAATTCAATATAATTTATAATTTAATAAACTATTATTTATTTCTATTTAAAAATTTTTTATGTTTTAACATTATTTTCAGATGTATTGTATTCATCAAATAAGAATGTAATTATATATAATTCTTGGAAACAAAATATGTATAATATCATAATAAATATTCAAAAATATAAGAATATAAACAAAAATATATTTAAATCATTTTGTAAAGAATTTAAAGAACAAGAAAATATTTCCAAACCTTTATATACAATAAAACCAAAAGCAAATAACGATACAGAAAGGAATATTGTTGATTTGAAGAAAGTATGAATTTAAATAATTTTTTTAATTTTTTATCTAATATCTAGAAATATTTATTTATATCAAAATTTAGGTAAGAACAATTGGTGGAAAAGGTGGAGATGGAAATATATCATTTTTGCAATTGTGGGCAAATGAAAATGCTGGACCAGATGGTGGAGATGGTGGAAATGGTGGGCATATCATTTTTCAGGTAAAAATAAACAATTTGTTTAAAAAAATCAAAATTAAATAGCATTACATTTTTATGTAAATTATATATATTATATTATATTTAGCTTCTATATTATATGTTAAAAATTTACAGGCAGCATTTGATGTTAGAGATCTTTCTCATTTAACTAGTGTTCTCAAAGCTGAAAATGGTGAAAATGGTCATAATAAAAGCTGCTTTGGAAAAAATGCAGAACATACTGTAATACATGTTCCTATAGGTACTATAGTACGTAATATAGAGGGACACATAATAGCTGATTTAAATCAAAAAGGAATGATGTTTATTGCTGCTCGAGGTGGTGCTGGTGGTCATGGAAATGCATTTTTTAAATCAGATGTATATCAAATACCACGTATAAGTGAATATGGTGCAAAAGGAGAAGATTTTCAATATGTATTAGAAATAAGTAGTATGGCACATGTAGGATTAGTGAGTAATCTAACTAGAAAAACTATATTAATATTCTTATTGATTTTTACAAATTTAATTAAAAATTAACAATATTATTATATTAATCTTTTTTATCAGATTGGATTTCCAAATGCAGGTAAAAGTACATTATTAAGAACAATATCTAGAGCTAGACCAAAAGTTGCAGCATATCCGTTTACGACATTAAAACCTCACCTGGGAATGGTATTATATGATGATTATGAACAAATTGCAGGTTAATAATGTGCTATAATCTATTAGTTAATATTTTATTTAATTTTTAATAAATTTATTAATTTTTAAGTTGCTGATTTGCCGGGTCTTATACCTGATTCTCATAAAAATAAAGGTCTCGGTATACAATTTCTTAAACATGTAGAACGTTGTAAAATTTTATTATTTATTCTTGATATTACGTCTGATGAACCATGGAGAGATTTTGAAATTTTAAAATATGAAATCACAGAATTTAATGTACAATTGAACAAAAGATTACTTCTTATTGCAGCAAATAAAATGGATTTGCCAGGAACAATGGTAAAATAATTTTCACTAATTAATATTGCTTAAAAATTAAATGCTGATATAATGAATTATATATTTATAGAAAAAATTAGAAATACTAAAGCAAAAAATTCATTTACCAATTATTCCAATTTCTGCTAAAATGGGTACAAATATATCTATTTTATTAAAGGAGATAAGAATACTATATGACAAAGAAGGAAAAAAAAATAGAAAAGAACACACTGCAATATGAAGATTTTACATAATATATATATATATATATATACATATATATTAATTATATTATATATTTATAATAATTTTTCAATAAAAAACATTTATAAAAGTTAATTATACGAACAATATTTAATATTTAACTTTTTCACATATGTTAAATTTTTTTATCACACTAGTTACTTGAGACTGATTTAAAATAGTAAAAAACCATCTATTTAAATTCGTAAATTGCTTTCTATATTCTGAATCTAATACATATTCATATAACGGCATTAAAGTAGTAAAAACAGTAATATCTGCAAGACTAATTCTTTCTCCAACTAAATAAGTTTTTGTCAATAATATATTATTTAATTTCTGTAAAGAAGAAAGAACATCTTCTTTAGATGTCTTAATATTTGTTTTGATATTGTTTGGAATATTTTTTGAAAGATATGGCACAACCCATCCAAGTACTGCTGGTAAAATGTGATTATCTGCATAACTTAACCATTGTAAAACTTCACTAAATGTAAAAGAATTGTTTGAACATTTGAATTGATCAGTTGATAAATAAAAAGCAATTGCATTACTATCAAATAATTCAAAATCATTTCCTTGTAATTTGATACCTTTGAATATATTATTTTTATGTGGCATTGTAATTAATTCTATATTGTTATATTTAGCAACTATTTGGATACGATAATATTTAATACTTCCACTATCACCAGAAAGTATTAATTTGTCTTTTAGAGTTTTAAAATATATAAATTTCTCATCACCTTTCAATTGATCATGATCTTCATTTATATTTTCTGAAAATATATTTTAGATTATTTTAGATATATATTAGAAAGATAGTTTTTCATTATAATATTTATATTTATATATAATAGATTAATTTCTACCTGCTAGTCCAAGCTTTGAATTAGCAAAATTTTTAGCTGTATATATTAATTTTGTTATACATGATATATTGGTACCCGAAGCCTGAGCAGATTCAGATTTTCCACCTCCTTTCCCTTCCATAAATGGAACAATTTCTTGAATCCATTCATTTGCTTTTAATCCTTTACTTATAGCAGACTATTATATATAAAATATAACGATAAAAATATTATTTTCATTTTTATTTAAATAGTTTATTACTAGTTTATTAGTTTATTTATATTAAATAGTTTGATTACATACATTTCATCTTACCTTAGAGACTGAACTAAGTGCAAAAATCTTTTTCGCATCAGGATCGATACTTATGAGTAATGCACTTGTTTCTGGTGATATAGTTCTTATTTTTTTAAGAGCAGAGTCTAAAGCTTTTGTATTACTATATGCTTGTAATACTTCAACTAATACCAAACATCCAATATTTTGTTGAATTATTTGTTGAATATTATCTAAAACTATATTGGCTATCGCAGTTTTGATTGCACGCTCTTTATCATCAAGTATCTTTTTTAAATCTTTTAACATTTTACGTATTTTATCCTATATTTGAATAATATTTTTAATGTAATATATATACATCAAATATGTACATGAATAAGATATACCTTTTTCCAACTTGAAATAATAGCATGTGAAACATCATCTGTTAATTCAACTATTTTTTTTACATGTTCTTTTGTATTTATACTATCTTTATCAGCTTCAATAGTTATTTGAAGTTCATCTAAATAGTTTTGTAACATTGATGTCTTTTTTTGAGCTTTCACTGCTTCAGGACCTGTTAGAGCTACTATACGTCTAATACCTTTAGCGATAGCTTCTTCACTAACTATAACAAAATTTCTAATATGTCCTGTATAATGTAAATGTCTATAAAAAAAATTGATATTAAAAAATGTTTATAGATTGCATTATTCGTTACTAAATAAATTAAAATATTTACGTTCCACCACAAAATTCTACACTAGTTTTTAATGCGCCAGAACTTAAAGGATTTTTTTCTAAATCTTCAACTGGTATACCTATACTAACAACTCTTACAGGATCAGGATAAGTTTCTTCAAACATAGCACGTAAACCTTGAATTGTTTTTGCTAGTCCTAAATTACATTCTTTAGCATAAACCATTTTATTTTCATTTATTATATTATTCGTTATTTCTTCTACCTTTCTTATTTGTTCTGTAGTCATCGCTCCTATAAAAACATATTTAAAATATAGATTTCGAAATATTTTTAAATATATTTTTATAATTATTTTTTGACAAACCTTTATTTGTGAAATCAAAACGTAAGCGATCAGGTGCAACTAAAGAACCTTTCTGATCCACTTCTGTACCTAATATTTCACGGAGAGCATAATTAAGAGCATGAGTTGCAGTATGATTGCTCATCAAAAGTCTTCTTCGTGTAGTATCTATGTTAGAAAATACTTTATCATTTTTTTTCAATTTTCCTTGACTGACAATTCCAATATGTAAAACATAACCACCTCTGACTTGAACATTTTTTATATGAACTTCAGTATCCTTGAAAAATAACATTATTATTTGTGTTTAAGTAATTGTAAATTTATGAGAATGTTATTTATTTACTTCATCATCGATTTTAGTTAAGAATCCTTCATCATACATTTGTCCACCTTGTTCTGCATAAAAATTAGTTTGATCTAACAAAATTCCAACTTCTTCTCCTGATGATACTTCATTGACAAAAGTTTTAGCACGTCTAAGAGCAATTACAGTACTAAAACATGGAGCAAATTCATACTCTTCACATATTTTATTATTTATAACTTTATAATTATATTTTGGTATATCATTTGTAGGTTTAATTTTTTTATTTTGTAATTCAGTAATTGCATGAACATCCAAATTAATTTGATCATCTACTTCACCACTTTTATTTTGAGAAATAAGCTGAGATATTAAATAATTTTTATGATTTTATAAAAATTAAATTTTTAATTTTATGTTATAAAATATTTCTTATAATACCTGTGCTTGTTTTTTTGCTTCTTCATAGCCAATTATATCTACTTTTAAACCCTTTTCTTCAACCATAAGTTGTGTTAAATCAAAAGGAAAACCATACGTATCATACAAACGCCATGCAACATCACCCGGAAGAACATTTGATGATTCTAATTTTACTATAGTACGGTTTAATAAATTACGACCACGTGATAAAGTTTTAAGAAATTGAGTTTCTTCTTCATTAATAATATCAATTATATGTTGTGGATCTTTTGTTACTTCTGGGAAAACATCACCTAAATTTTCATAATAAAAAATTTTTAATAAATAATTATTTCAGAAATAATACTTAAAAATTAAAATAAAATTTACCAAGAAGATCTACAACAACATTCACCAATGATCCAAAAAATCCAGGTTTAGCATTTAATTTTTCAATTGCATAACGTACAGCACGTCTCAAAATCCTTCTTAATACATATCTAAAATTTTATTAATATTAAATAATAAATAATAAATTATAATAATAATAATTAAATAATAAATTGATTAAAATTTAGTTAATATAATAATATATGTATATAGATTAATAATATATATATTAGAAAAAATGAATAGATAAATATAATAAATTTACCCTCTACCAGTATTGTCAGGTATACCCCCATCTGCAAGAGCAATTGTAATAGTTCTTGCATGATCAGCCAAAACTCTATATGCCATATCTATCCCATCTTTGTCTTCCTTACCAACCTTCCCTTGATAAGATGGTGCTCTTGTACCTTTTTGTATTGCATCAAAAAGTGGCATAAATAAATCAGTATCATAATTTGCAGATTTATTCTGTATAATTGATACTAATCTTTCTAAACCTAAACCACAATCAATGTGTTTTTTTGGTAATAATTTCAAATTTCCATTATTCTCTCTAAAATAATGTGTAACATTAAAAAATTAGAATTTATTTTATATATTATAAAAATTACTAACCTATTAAATTGTATAAATACAAGATTCCAAATTTCTAGAACATCTGGATCATCTTGATTTACTAAATGAGCTGCTTCTCTATTGCCAATGCGATCGTAATGGATTTCACTAGAAGGTCCACATGGACCTGTTTCACCCATTTCCCAGAAATTATCTTTCATATTTCCTGGTAATATATGTGTAGGAGATAAACTAAGAAAAAATTATTTATAATGATCTTAATAAACATAATAAAAATTAAATACAGCAATATGTATAAATAAAACATAAAATGTACCCTAAAGAAAGCCAAATTTGTTTGCATTCTTCATCAGGTTTTAAATTATTCTTTTCATCTCCTCCAAAATAAGTTACATATAATCGATCTGATGATAATTTTAATTTAACAGTTAAAAATTCCCAAGCCCAGGTACAAATCTCTTTCTATAGAATTGTAAATATAAAAATTAAATAATAGTTTGTAAATATAGAATAATAGTTTTGAAATAAATTATGCATTATATGATTAATATATTACTTTAAAATAATCTCCAAAAGACCAATTGCCCATCATTTCAAAAAAAGTATGATGATAAACATCTTTTCCAACATCATCTAAATCATTATGTTTTCCTCCAGCTCTAATACATTTTTGACTATTAACAGCTCTCACTAATTTTGCCATATCACTATTAGGATCCACTATTCCTAAAAATATTGGTTTAAACTAAAACAAATAAAAATAATGAATAAAAATTACATTTTATATAATTAAAAACAATAACAATTTTATTAATACTTGATTCATTCCAGCATTTGTAAATAATAAAGTTGGATCATCATGTGGTATTGTAGAACTAGAATGCACATATTCATGGCCTTTATTTTTAAAAAAATCTATATAAGCTTGCCGAATTTGTTTGGCAGTCATCATTATAGTCATATTGATCTATTCTTCTTATTTTTCCTCTTCTTGCTTATTCTATTCTTAAAATTAAGCAATATGTAAAATTTTTACAAAATAACTTAAACATATGGTTAATAAATTAAAAGTAAACAAAATATTCAAATAACAAGTAATTAAAAAATTATATATTAATTTTTAAAATTATTATTTATATTACAATATTATTATAATTATAAAATTATGATGTATA